CAGGCCTCTGTCTAATACAAAATACTGTATATACTTAATTGTGTTTCCATTATTGATATGCAGTTACATCACTTAAAGGTTGTCAGTGAAGTGTTCTGTAAGAGGCATTGTGAGAGGGTCCTTATGTTGTTGTCTTTGCTCATGAAGTTGGTCTGAGGGCTAGACCCCAGGTCAGGTGTCCACCAGGGAGGAGCTACAGAGCCCTGGCTGACAGGAGGCTGCTCCCACCTGCTCAGACCTGCAAGGGGTGTCTCTCCCAAGTCCACCCACTTCCTCCCAGTGGACCTCAGGACCCCAGCCTCCCAGTCCCCATTACCTGCTCATCCTGTCCCTATCGTTCAGGCCACTTTTCCTGAACAATAGGATTTTCTTCACTTTCCGCACGTTGCCCACGCTGGCAGCTTTGTGGATCGCTCCCATATCTGTGTCTCGAAAGAGAGGCCTTGGGGTTCCCATGCCACTCCTCCCAGGATTGGTGGGGGAGTCCATGGCCGCCACCCTGGGACTTTTCAGAAAAGAAAACACCTTCTTCATGATGGAGAGTCAAGGCTTCAGAGAAGCCTCACCTTCCCTCCACTTTTCCCGCCTCCTGAGCTCAATACTAGCTCTCTAGCCAACCACCTCACGCCACAGCATTCAAGCAGGGCAGTTTGGCAGTTTAGCATCTCTCCCCTCGGAATCGCAGTAACCAAGCAACGGCCTCTGACATCACTAGGCATGTGCATAGGGCCTTGTGGTCAAGGGCAGCCAGAGCCCATGTGCAAAGCCCAAGTAACTCAAATCACAGAGACTGCCTGGTGGATGTGTCTCCCTGGTTAGAGCTTCTGCCTGAGCATCAGAGGGTGGCGGGTTCCATAACTGGTCAAGGGCATGAACCTAGGTTGCAGATTAGATCCCTGGTCCCATCAGGTGCATTCGGGAGGAAGTCAACCAAAGTCTCCCTCACATTGGTGTTTCTCTCTCTGCCACCCCCACTCCTCCTCCTTCCCTTCCTTCCACAAAGAAACAATCAATGGAAATAATATACTCCGTGAGGATTAACTAAAATTAAAAAAATCTCAGTGATTGTCTGTGGGCAGGTCTGGGTTCTTTTCAAACATCCCTGGGAGTTGGCCAGGTGTTTCCAGAGGCTTGCAATAGTTACCCCGGTGAAAAAGCAGTCTGCTTATGACCAGGGCTAGGGTGGTGTAGAACTTCAGGATGCTCAAGGTCTGGTCCCTGAGAAAACTCCCATTAAAAACACCTCTAAATCTCCCAGTGCCCCAGTTTATATCTGTTCCACATCCCTCTGGCCCCAGACAACCTCCAGGGAATTTATCAGATGCAACAACAGATGGATGTTTTCATGGTTTCAGAGATTGTGGCAATATGTGTCTGCAGGTGCAAATTTATGAGAAACCAGTGCCCGTTCTCTGGATGAAAGCACCTTTCCGCAGGCCTCTTAATCCTCCCCCTTTGGCCCACCTCTTACATTTTAATTTGTGTAAGAGGTGGGCCAAATAAATCTTTAATCAATCCCAGATTTATTTTGGAGCATGGTGTTCACATTTAAGAACTTCCTTAAAAAATGGCTATTCACCTGTCCCAAACCTTTTCTCACCTAGTTTAAAATGTCACTTTACCGTGCATTAAACTCTCAGGTTATGTTTTTTGTTTTTGGGTGGTCTGTTTTATCCATTGAACTGTCTGATTCTTTTTGCATCAGCACTGCACTATTTTAACTTCTTTATAAAACGTATTGTAGTGTTTTACAGTTACAATGTTCCCCCTCTTTAATATGCTTTTTTGTCTCCTCCTGGCCATGTTTACCTTGAAATTATTTGAAATGAAGTTCTAATCAGTATTCCAAGTTTTAAAAGAAATCTTAGTGAAATTTTAATTAGCTTGAGAATTAATTTTAACTGATAATCTCTTGAATCAGTATATGCAGATACATATGATGTCTCTCAATTTATTTAAGTCCTATTATATGTTCCTCTTATCTTTTGGTAGTTATTTTTTAAATAAAGCTTTTTAAAATATTCTTATTTATTTAGACAGAAAGAAACATCTGTTGTCCCACTTATTTATTCTTTCATGGTTGCTTCTTCTATGTGCCTGAACTGGGATTCAAACCCACAACCTTGGCATACCTGGACGATGCTCTAACCAACTGAGCTCCGAGGCAGGGCGATACTTTCATGTTTGGATTTTTGGTTTGTTTTTGTTGTTGACACTATTGGCGATGTGGTAGTATTTTTCCTTATGTAAATCCTGCCCACTTTAGACATATCAGGATTTTTCATTTTTTATTGTGATGGAATACTTTTCCATTATCATTATAAATTATTATTATATTAATATCTTTACAGTTGACAATCAGACTGAAGAAGTTTTCAAGCTGTACTTTTGTAACTGGTGAAGGAGTTGACAGTTTATGGAAGGTTTGCAGGGAAGGCAAACTGGATGGTAAAGATTTCACCAGGAAAATGTCTTATTGAGGAATTTTATGATGCAGATAAAAAAACAAGAAAAGTAAAATGCAAGCAAGAGAGGCTGTTTTTATTGAAGGGTAAGATAATTTTTTTAATGACATAAAATATCTATTTTTTCCTCAAATCCCTTTAGCCAAATTTTTCAGTAATTCGCTTACTGAGCTGATCATCTTCACCATTATGAAGCCTCTTGTGCTCCATACATGTTCTATATTCTTTAAGATTTACAAACTTAAAATCTAAATACTCATTTCCCCTTGCTTACTTCTTTCTCTATCAGCAACTCCTGTCTTTTCATCTTTAGTCCATTTCTTAGGAAGGTAAAATAGGTTGACTCCATAGTCCACAGTAACTGGTATAAACATGTGAGCACCAACAGAGACTCCTTTTAGTGTAGTTCTTGATCCAGCAATTCCAATAGGACCACACCTGCTATGGTGGGTGAAACGCACAGGAGCAGGAGCAGGCCCAAGGCAACAGCTAATGCAAAACCAGCTAACTCAGAGCTCACCACATTCCTACTACATTTGCTAATGATTTCAGGAGCTAGCCAAAATGAAGAGTAACAGAAACCAACATTGCATAAAACGCACCAGGAAAATGTGAAAGTTTGGTAAACACATCTTACAGCAAGACAAACACATAGATTTTAATTTAGGGAGTTATTCTTCTGTGGCCATTTATTGCCATTTTGTTCTTTGGTTCAATAGTTCGCAAAATTGCTTGGAAATGGAAACTCAGAAGCTGAGTGCCTGGACCTTCCGCAAAAATTGCTGTTGGTGAAGGGGTCCCTGCTGAGGGATGAGTGCCTTCATTGGTAAAAGAACAATTAACCAAATCAACAACAAAAAATTCTCAAGACAACTCAGCTAAGCTAGACCAACTGGTTTTTGGGTGTGGGAGTGGTTTAAACTATGATGACTAAGCATTTGCCTCCTTCAGCAGCCCAATTAGAAAATGACCTATTGTACCTTATTTGCTCCTCAGATTTACAGGAGAGGCTCTCTGTAGTGACAGGTGACCAGAAGGCTCTGGCATTCCTGATTCAGCCTGCACTGAGGATCAAAGACATGACCCGGCTGCAGAGAGGTAGGAACCAGTCACCAGGACTCCAGGTCAGTGGACCCTGGAGTTTCTCTATGGACCAGAGATAGAGTAAACGTTAGGCCAACTCTGAGTTTCTGCGTTTCCTTGGACAAACGAGCAATTGGAATTTAAAATTTCCCATTCCTAGATTTTTGTGGAACCAATTTTGGACCCAGAGCAGATGCCCTGTAGAAAGGTATTGCTTGGAATCCTCATGCCTATCTAAGACTCAAATAATGCCCTGGTTCTGCTTTCCTGCACACTCATTTAAGTTATGCTAATGGAATTCATAATGTGTAGACTAGTATTTGTTTTGTAATGAAAAATGACTGAGAGATGGATGCCTTACCAAATCCCTTAGCAAATATTTTCCAATTCCAGTTCAAAGGCTGTCATTAATGTGTTTTCCCTGTAAGAGTAACCAAGAAACATGTGGAACACTCTTCCACAACTGATTCATTCATTCTCTGGGATGTGCAAAACCGGGGCAGACTTGAAAATGACCTAATCATTGAATGTCCTTGTGAGCCAAAACACAGATCCATCAGCAAGTGGAAGTCCTAACTGATGAGGTGTAAAGAGAACTTTGATCCAATCTTTGGCTAAATGCTAAGCAATGCAGACCCAGCAGCAAATCTTAGGAAGCAAGATTTAAACATTTTATAAATGGACATACATGAATGTATGCACACTCAAGAAGGGACAAACTTCACAAATTTGCTGGCGGAAACTTATTAGACAAAACAAGGACAACCCTTTAAATAGAAAATCAACTCCCAGGGATTAAAAATGGTGGCAGAGTAAGAGGATGGTGCATGGACATGCTCCCAGGAACAAACTGGAATTGCAACTAAAATACAAAAAAACTTCCTGAATAATCAACAGAAGACTTGCAGGAGAGAACCCTGATACCCAAGTACCAAAAGTGGAGACAGCATAAAGACTGGTAGGAGGGGCAGAGGTGGGGAAGGGCTGGTTGGATGCCTACAGACAGCAACTGAAGTTGCAGAGAGATATCTCAGCTGTGGCAGGGGTGGGGCGGGGGGAGCAAGGGGGTGCCACTAAGAACTCTGGAATCTAATCCCCAAGCTGGGCCCCTCAGCAGAGAGCAACACAACTGAGGAGGGTACCCACATACCATCTGGCAGTGAAAAGCAGCAAGGTTGCTATCTGCCAGGGAGTGACAGCTGAAAATTCAGGCACCTTCTTAAAGGGCCAATGCAAAACATTCCCTGTGGAGTCTCCCACCTTGTGCTCTGGCAGAGGGAGGGTGGAGTGGACTGGAGCTGTGTGAGCAGAAGCCAGGATTGTAGACTCATGGATTAGAGCTCAAAAGACAAACACCCCCAGTTTCCTGGGCTGAGTCATTCTCTCATGCAGCAAAGGACATCTTTCCCACATAGACACCTGCCTTGCCTCGGGGGAAGACAGTTGACTCACCCTTTTGGAAAACACCATGCCCGGAGGCCACCTAAGAGACAAAAAAATAACAATTAGCTTCCAGGCAGAAGCAACTGCCCCACCCTGTTGAAAAATCTCTCACCACACCTGAGGATGATTGCCTGGAGGCAATTCAAGTCTATCAGTCTCTAGACCAGTGGTTCTCAACCTTCCTAATGCTGCGACCCTTTAATACAGTTCCTCATGTTGTGGTGACCCCCAGCCATAAAATTATTTTTGTTGCTACTTCATAACTGTTATTTTGCTACTGTAAACAATCTGTAATTATATATGTGTTTTCTGATGGTCTTAGGCGACCCCTGTGAAAGCATCATTTGACCCCCAAAGGGGTCGCGACCCACAGGTTGAGAACCGCGATTCTAGGCAGAGGCAGTCTCTGGAGGCTTTGAGTCTTTACCTGGTCTACTTAATCAGAAACAGCCTTTAACAGTGTTCTGCACCAGAGACTGAGAGCTATAGTCACAAACTCAAACAGACAGCCAAAATGAGGAAACAAAGAAACAACCCCCACATGAAAGAACTAGAGAATTATCTAGGAGAAGAGATAAATAAAGCAGAGATAAGAAATTTATCTGAAACAGAGTTCAGAGTGATGATGGTAAAGATGCTCAACAGCATGAAAAAAGATATAGTAACTGAAAAAAGAACAGTCGGGAATAAAGAATGATATAACACAAATAAAGAACACATTGGAAGAAATACAAAGCAGATTAGGGGAAAGTGAAGATCAAATCAGTGAATTAGAATACAGGGTTGAAAAAATTCACTCAATCAGAGAACAACAACAAAAAAAATTAAAAAACAGGAGGACAGTTTAGGGGAGTTGTGGGACAACATGGAATGTAACAATTTTAGAAGAGCAGGTGTACCAGAAGAGGCAGAAAGGGAGAAAAGAATAGAGAACATGTTTGAAGAAATAATGGCAGAAAACTACACTAACCTGGTAAAGGAAAAAGGCACATAAGTTCACGAGGTATAGAGAACCCCAAGTAAGAAGAAACAAAACAGGCCCATCCCTAGACACATCATAATTAAAATGCCAAAATTTAGAGACAAAGAGAGAATCCTAAGGGCAGCAAGAGAAAAGCAAACTGTTCCTACAAAAGAGATCCCATAATGCTGACACCTGATTTCTCATCAGAAACCCTTTAAGCCAGATGGAAATGGCATGAAGTACTCAAGGTAATCAAAAACAAGGATCTGAAACAAGATTACTATATCCAACAAGGCTATCATTCAATATAGATGGTCAAAGAAAAAACTTCCTAGACCAAAAAAAAAAAGGCTAACCAAGTACATCACCACCAAGCTAGCATTAAAATAAATGCTAAAGGAACTGCTGGCTGTAATGAGAAGGAGAAACACAGAGAGAAACCTAGACATACAGAATTAAAATGGCAATAAATAAGTACCTATCTGCCGGCCAAGATGGTGGCAGGCAGCCAGGCAGCTTGAAGCGAACAGGGAGGCTTGCTTGCTCCAGTGACAGCAGACTCCAACGTTCCCCGCCTGACTTGCCGGCCTCTCAGCTGCAACTCTAAGCAACTATGTTGCAAATATAGAAGCTAAACAAAACCCCAGAAACCTGCTTTAGTCAGCCGGGATTCAGCCAGCTGGACTGCAACATTGTATCAAATACAGAAGGTAAACAAAGGCCAGAAACCTGCTTTCAGCAGCCGAGGCCTCAGAGGTAAAACTGGCCCAGAATTAAAAAAAAAAAAGAAAAAAAGAAGAGGTTGGGAGCTTCAGTCACCCGCCAGCCTGAAAATGGCCCTCAGGCCCTCAGCCAGACTGGCCAGGCACCCCAGTGGGGACCCCCACCCTGATCCAGGACACCCTTCAGGGCAAACCAGCCAGCCCCCACCCGTGCACCAGGCCTCTATTCTATATAGTAAAAGGGTAATATGCCTCCCAGCACCGGGATCAGCGTGACAGGGGGCAGTGCACAAACCCCCTGATCACCCTGCAGCTCTGTGTGAAACAGGGGGCGGGGCAACAACCTCCCTATCCGCCCTGCTCTGTTCATGACAGGGAAGGTGCCCCAACCACCTGATCAGCCCTGCTCTGTGCCTGATGGGGAGTAGCTCCCCAACCCCGATCGCCCTGCGGCTCTGTGTGTGACAGGGTGTGGCGCCGCAATCCCCTAATCGGCCCTGCTCTGTGGGTGATAGAAGGTGGCGCCCAAACCCCCCGCCACAGGCCCTGCTCTGTGTGTGATGGGGTAGAGCCATAACCTCCCCATCGGCCCTGCCCTGAGTGTGACAGTGGCTGTGCCCCAAACCCCTGATCCGCCCTGCTCTGTGTGTGACACGGGCCGGTGCCCCAACTCCCCTATCGGCCCTACTCTGTGAGTGACAGGGGGGAGCTCCCCAACCCCCTGATGGGCCCTGCTCTGTGTGTGACAGGGGGGGAGCTCCTCAACCCCTGATCGGCCCTGCTCTGTGTGTGACAGGGTACGAAGCCCCAACCCCCCTGATGGGCCCTGCTCTGTGCATGACAGGGGGCAGCACCCCAACACCCTGTGTGTGACAGGGGGCAGTGCCCAAACTCTCCTATCAGCCCTACTCTGTGAGTGACAGGGGGGAGCACCTCAACCCCCTGATCGGCTCTGCTCTCTTCGTGACAGGGCCGAGCTCCCCAACCCCCTGATGGGCCCTGCTCTGTGTGTGACAGGGCTCTGTGTGTGACAGGGTACGAAGCCCCAACCCCCCTGATGGGCCCTGCTCTGTGCATGACAGGGGGCAGCACCCCAACACCCTGTGTGTGACAGGGGGCAGTGCCAAAACTCTCCTATCAGCCCTACTCTGTGAGTGACAGGGGGGAGCACCTCAACCCCCTGATCGTCTCTGCTCTCTTCGTGACAGGGCCGAGCTCCCCAACCCCCTGATGGGCCTTGCTCTGTGTGTGACAGGGGGGAGCTCCCAAACCCCCTGATGGACCCTGCTATGTGAGTGACAGGGGGCAGTGCCCCAACCCCCTGATCAGCCCTGCTCTGTGTGTGACAGGGGGTGGCCCCGCAACCTCCCCATCGACCCTGCCTTGAGTGTGACAGGGGGCGGTGCCCCAACCCCCCAATTGGCTCTACCCTGAGAGTGACTAGTGGTGGCATCACAACCTCCCGATCCACCCTGCTCTGTGCATGATAGGGGGCGGCACCCCAACCCCCAATAGGCCCTGCTCTGAGCCCTATCAGGGGCTGCACCTAGGAATTGGGCCTGCCCTCTGCCACCCGGGAGCAGGCCTAAGCCAGCAGGTCGTTATCTTCCGAGGGGTCCCAGACTGCAAGAGGGCACAGGCCAGGCTGAGGGACACCCCCTCCCCCCTGAGTGCACAAATTTCATGCACCGGGCCTCTAGTAAGACAATAAAAGACAGAACTTGGCTGGATATCCTGGCTAGAGATCCTGGCTAGGCTGCTGATCAACTGAATGCTGTCTCCATGTCATTCCTTTTTGGCTGACTCTGTCCACACCTTTGGGGACTCCTCGTCCTCCTGGGATTGGACCCCAACATCTATCAATAATAACCCTAAATGTAAGTGGGTTAAATGCTCCAGTGAAAAAGCATTGGGTAGCTGAATGGATACAAAAAAACAAAGGATTAAAAAAACAACAACAACCTAAATAGCTTATGAGAGTACAAAGGGACAGGCCTAAAGAGAGACTCTCAGTCCCAGCAATTGGAACCTGAGAAACACAATAGTACAGAAGACTGGGATCTTAAGCCAGCCAAAGGAACACTTCACTTTTTCATTTTTATTTTTTTAGTTTTTATTATTTTGTTATCTCTTTTTTTCTTTTTTTCTTTGTTTTCCTGTTTTTGTTTGTTGATTTATTTTCTATTTCTTTTTTAAACTACAATAAAAACAATCCAAAACACTCAAATACTCTGAAGCTGAATAGCATGTTATTAAATATTGATTGGGTTACCAATGAGATCAAAGAAGAAATTAAAAACATCCTTGAAACAAATGACAGTGAAAACACAACAATCCAAAAACTATGGGACACAATGAAAGCAGTTCTGAGAGGGAAGTTTATAGCTCTACCTGCCTAACTCAAAAAACAAGAAAAAGTGGTAGTAAATCATCTAACCCTACAATTCAAAGAATTAGAAAGAGAGCAACAAGAAAATCCCAGAGTGAAAAGAAGAAAGGAAATAATAAAGATTAGAGCAGAAATAAATGATATAGAGACCAATGTAGAGGGCCGCCTGGGAGGCACCTAGGCATTTTCTTATAATTATTCTCAGCTGAACTCAGAGCATAGGCAGCTACTCCCTAGGAACATGCTTCCCCAATAAGGCTGACATGTTAATCAGGCAGGGGCGGAACTAGATATGTAAATCTAGGCCTTTAAAATACACCTGCTGTGTGGCTCAGGCCGCTTTGTGCCGCCTCTCCATCAGAGAGGATGGCGCCCACCTGGCCCCAGCTTAAAATCTATTTCTGCGTCTTGGTCTTTCTTTAATTTCTTAATCCCCAGCTCCTCCACTCAGCAAATGGACTGTTTCCTTTTCCATACGGGACATGGAAAAGAGAGAAACAGCCCCCCCACAGACCAAAAACACAATACAACAGATCAATGAAACCAAGAGCTAGTTCTTTGAAAGCATAAACAAGATTGATGAACCTCTAGCCATGCTCACCAAGAAACAAAAAGAGAGGACCCAAATAAACAAAATCAGAAATGATAGAGGCGAAATAACAACAGACCCCACAGAAATACAAATGATTGTTAAAAAATACTATGGACAACTCTACTCCAACAAACTAGACAACCTGGAGGAAATGGACATATTCCTAGAAAAATACAACATTCCAAAACTCAATCAGGAAGAAGCTAAGAATCTCAATAGGCCAATAACTATGGAAGAAATTGAAGCAGTCATCAAAAAGCTTTCAGCAAACAAAAGCCTGGGGCCAGACAGCTTCATAGGGGAGTTTTACCAAACATTCAAGGAAGAACTAAATCCTATCCTCCTCAGACTATTCAAAAAAATTCAAGAGAAA